TTTTGTGAAAGTACAATAGCTAAAGGGCTTTAATTTTATTACACACAGCAAATAAAGTCAACGAACATGCGGCGGCGGCATCTCTCGCCTCTCTACGCGCTTCTCAGTCAGCCAAATTAAATAAGATACAGATGGCGATGGAGTGGGAGGGAGGGGGAGAAGGGGAGAGGGAGAGAGTGGAAGACACTGGCGAAGACTTGGCCAAAAGTTGAAATTTTTGCGTGCCAGCTGCGGCTACACAACTTGCCACAACAATATATAAGAAAAGACAGCAATGACGGACTAGCCTGATACCCTGCAGAGGCTGAGCATAGAAAATGTGAATCGACCTTGAAATTAAGGACTGCAGGTTGAGTGATGCTCTTATGGGAGGAAAGGCTGTCCATATACCCTGTAATTCTCAGCGCGCTCTCTCTCTCTTTCCATTTCTCTCTCTCTCTCTCTCATTCTATTTGACTATTTCGCTGCGTCTGCTGCAGCTTTACATTTCGGTGCATCCAGCTAGCCGCTAAGCTTGTCAAATTTACAGGGTATCTGATAAAAAACTACAAAACAAATGGCAGCGCAGCAGGCACAACAGCAGTTAAGGCCCGTCGCAGCCAAAACACAATTTATTTAATTTTGTATTAAATTTGATTTGATTTTTATTGTTGTTAGTGAGATGAAGGGCGAGACAGAGACAGAGACAGAGACAGAGAGGGGGCAGAGCGAGTAGAGATTTATGATTACATGAAGGAGGCGCATCAATTAAAGCGCCGCTGCAAAACAAAAAAAAACCATAAACACAAAAACTAATACGAATACAAATAACAGCAGCTCACAAGACAAACAACACATACACATACACACACACACACACACACACACACAGTTTTTTTCCTGCTTCAGCCGCAGGCAACACAATGAAACATAAAACGGACAATGACAATTTTTTTTCAGCCTCTGGAGTCTATTCGTAGGCAAGGTATCTAGGGGCACGGAGGCAAGTTTTTTTGAGAGTTTTGGCCGGATATTGTCAGGGGGAGGGAGGCTGTTGCAGTGGGCGTTTATAGAGTGGGCGTGGCTATACAGCCAAGTGCAGTTGAATTTGGGTATTACTAATATTTTTTTATCCTGAATGTGAACTGCTTGGAAATGTGTGCATTGAATCGTTCTTGGTATTTTTTTTAAGCAGCTATCGATATACATCGATAAATATGTGTTTCGCTTATGTCGATAACAGTGTATGTCTGCAAATTAATAGCTTAAGTAAACAAAGTTCCCAGCACAGATTTATATTTTTTTAAATTGATATATCGAACGGTCGATAGTTCTCGTATTTTTAGAGTTTATTGCATTTTTTTCTACATACAATTGCTTTAAAGGTCCAGCCTTTAATTCAGCTTACGCTCTGCCCTTTGCTGGACCACCCTAAAATCTCGTATTTTATTTTCTTGGCATTTTATATGGAACGTCTATAACTACCAATTAAGTTTGGTAAATATATCGTGCTATAAACATAACAAACATGTCAAACTAACAGGCAGGCGGAATTGAGGCGGGGCGGGGGCGGGGCGAGAGATGTGAGCGGACAAGCCGAGTGACAGGCAGTCAGACAGGCAGGCAAAAGGAAATGCGTATAAAGCGATAAATGTCAAGTTAAGCAAAAGAAAGAGAGAACAGAAAACAGAAACAGAAAGCACGAAAGCGAACAGCCAGAGGGGGCATGGAGCGTGGAAAAGGGGGAGAGAAAGCAGGAAACCCAAACAGCAACAGCTCGTAAAGTTGTAGAGATCGCAGTGCTGGAATGGGATATTCAGCTGGTTTAGTATGTGCAGCTGTTGCCAACAATCAATCAAAGTCATCTCAATACATATCGATAACGATAATTGTAACATGGAAAAGATTTAAGTCTAAGTTAAAGCAGATTAAAGTGTTAATATATCGATAGCGACTGCGATAACGATTATTTATGCCGCTCTCTCTTTCCCGCCGAGTCTCTTAACATCCGTATCATATCTCTATACGTTCTCTCATTCTCATTTTATTCTATATCTATCTCTCTAACTGTCACTCTCTATCAATATGAATTTCTCCCTCGCACACCCTCCCTCCTTCCTTGGAAATCTCTTCAAGCCAAGTCTTCCCAATTAATTCGCCAATTAAACTATCATAATCAACGCTAATTAGTTCGGCGAAATATTTGAAGGCAGCGGATGGGGAGGCCTTATTAATGTCTCCTTAATAAGGCATGGAATTTTCAGTGTTTCAAAGCTTTTAAGTTGACGCCGAATTAATGATAATCGGTGAATATGAAAGTCGATAATTAATAGCAATTTCGGATGGGGTATGCTCTAGTGTGATATGTGGGCTGGCCCCCTGCCTGTTTATGCACTACCTCAAACTACGTTCTTAGTGCGAGGAGTAGTTTGAGGAAACTTTGCCTTTGTCTTAATAGATTGAACCAATCATTTGTGGTCCATACGTCGTTAAACGTGTTTACGAAGCTCAGAGCCAAATGACCCAACTTGGATAATTCACTTCGCGGTTCGAATTTGGTTTACCACAAGTCTTAGCCTTAGATCTTAGTTCGAATAGCAAGTAGAGGACAGATAAATGATACTGTATTCGATACATTATGCAATGCCCACAGACACCCTCCAAATCACTTTAATCAATGTAAAGGCTATGCATTAGAGAAGAGGAAGAAAAAACAGAAATTTAATGAGCGCCGTATCGAGTGACCGAAAAAACCCCTTCTGACCCTTTCAGCCCCGAACGCTGGTTTCAAATTGTTGGCAAACAACTTCAAGGCACGGCCAGACAGACAGACAAACAGAAAGACAGACAAACTTGCTCCGAGACTGACCTAGCCACCCCCACAGGCCAGACCAGCCCCGGCCCAGCCCCTTGTCACGCCCTCCCCCGAAAGCGTTTTGTGAGTAGGTAAATGAAACACATTTGCGTCAAGACCTATCAAATCAAATAAATCAGTTGCAAAGTGAAAGGAAAACAACTTGATGAACGGCCAGTGCAAGAGATCGACGATGCAATACCCTGTGAAATGGTAAAGTGTGAGCAAAGTGTGAGTACTATAGGAAGTGTCCATCAGGAAGTGTCCATCACCTATTAATTATGTCAGTGTGCTCCACAGCCATGAATTGAAAAGAGAGTATGAATATGTATGTATGTATATGTAGTTGGCACAACACAGCAGACATACCCACATGCACGTAGTATTTTGGTCTAGGGTAAGCATAAATGGGCTCAGTCCATCGCATTTGACTTGGGTCTTTATTTTGAAGGGATTTGCAGGCAACTCTTTGCTCCTGCTGCTGCTTTTGCTTTTGCAGCGCCTAATGAGCGCTGAACCTGCAGCTCGTACGCTCCATTTGGCCTAGGCTAAGTGGGATAGCAAGATGGCGGGAGTCGGAGTTGGAGGCGTAGCTGGACAGCATGGCATAGGCCTTAGCCTTAATGCCCAATTGAATGTTTCCCTAACAAATTGAGGTCGGCTATGCAGCAGCTTAAAGGGAGTTCAAAAGTCGACTTGGCCTAGGAAGTCCATCAAAATGGCCCGAAAAGGAAAAGGCATAAATATTAATTATTATCAAAATTGTGCTAAACACTCAATTAGAAAGTCACCCCAGCGGGATTTAGCTGTATGTGTGTGTGTGTGTGTGTGTGCTGTTTGCGTTCAATAAAGATAATAATACAGTAATTATTATGAAAACGTTTGTTAATGCTTCACATGCCACGCCCACAGCGCCCCCGTACAAAGTGTGTGTGTGGTATTCACTAATGCTTGGGGCCAAGACTTTTGCGGCTCAAAAACTTTTAGCACTTTATTAATTTCATTTAGCACATTAAAAGCATTTTGTTAATCCTATGGCCATCAATTTGTAGGATACACACACTCTTCCTCTATTGCTCTCCCTCTCTCTCTCTCTCTGTCTCTCTATCGGTCTCCCTCTCACTCTGTGCTGGGCATTTGTCAAATCAAGTTTCTATTAAGCCAAAGTAATTGGTAAGGCGCAGACTGAAACTTCTTTAATATGTTGAGTCATTAGACTAAGACCAACAAAATTTCAATGGAATTTGTTGTTGGGCACTAAGAGTTAGGGTAATCCCGCAACAGCCCAGAGTTTCGTGTCTTCTGAAACTGATACTGAAACTGGAATTATGGCCATTATGTGGGAGTTGGCGTCGGGTCATATTTGAGACTCACTGACATGAAGAGTAATTATGTGTGGGAAATTCTGTGGGGGTAACTGAGCTCCGTTCGCAAATCCTTGCTCACAGGGGAGAGGCGGGGTTAGCTAGAGATGGATAGTAGGATTTTCTTGTTGCAGAGTAGAGGCATTACTTCAAGGTACTGCAAGTAGTATGTCCAATCTGTGCCTCCTATTCACATCCTCTTCGAGCTGAGTACGTCGGAGAACCTTCATAAAAGTAGACTTTGATTCTATGACCAAGTTCCATTTAAGAGATACTCACTCCATTAGCTTAACTTAGCCAACTACATATCCTGTATAATTTTCAGTCCTAGTGAAACTCTGTTTTGCTTCGCCTCATATATAACAGGCTATGAGAAAGGAACACCCCCAGTGAAACTCAGTTTTGGCTAGCCTCACATATAACAGGCCATGAGAAAGTGAAAACCGATTTGCCAGCAACGGCATAAAAAGTTATTCAGTTTGTGATCAGGCATCGAATTGAAAGGAGGGAAAAAATAATAAAATTTCTAAAAATATATATAGTGGAAGAGATTGTGAAAGGAGAGAAAATGATAAGAAAACCGATTGAGAGAAATCGAAGTCCGATGCAGGCTCCGCGCCCTGCGAGGCTGAGCGCGGCGCGCAGCGCGTCGGACGAGAAGATGGAGCAGCACTTCCTGCAGCAAATGGAGCTGATCAGGGAGATGAGCAAGGCACATCCGTGCGTAGCTGAGCGCGAGCTCTGCCCCAAGTGGCTGGGCATCTTCTCGCGCACGACCAAGGACGAGAAGTCGGCGAGGAACTGCCTGATCACCCTGATGCACAACCAGCTAAAGCAGGACAGAAAGCTGAGCTACCCCTTTACGGATTTGCTCAACTGCAATCGGGACTTGCGCACGGTGCTCGACTACTACGATGCTCGGCGCAAGCCGACGAGGCAGAACCGGAACGACGCCCCCCCCCTGAGCAAAATCGTAACGCAGCCAGTAAGGACGCTGCTGCGCAAGCCAGACTCCCCCCCGCAGACTATAAAGAGGAGCAGTGCCGTGGGCTTGCGTGTGCCGGAGCCGTCGCGTGCGAGTGTTCCCACCGTGGGGCTCGAGTCGAAGCCGCAGAGCAACCCAAATGAACCCCCCCCAAATGCAGCAAAGATTGCCGAGAAGCAGATAGGCCAATTGGATAAAGGCGCCCCCCCCTGGCACCATGAGCTCATCGCTAATATCAAGCCCGGTTGTAAAGTGCCGACCCCCCCCAGGCCTCAGCCAGGTCCACTTCGGCCGCTTATCCTAATGAGCCCACCCAGGCCCCCCCGCTCCACTTCCGCCCCGGTCAACGACTTGCCAGTGGCTGTTCAGCGAGACCCGCCCCCAAAGGATTTGCCTGTGCCTAATCGCCGATCGAAGCCCTTGCTTGAGCTGTACAAGAAGAAGCACTTCAAGGAGCACGAAAGCGATCCCGATCCAGAAATGTCTAAAAATCAGCCGAAGAGGCTCATATCGTTGGCTCCGCGACCCGCGCGGTTCCAGCGACCCGACCGACCTGAGCGACTCGAATGGCCTGAGCGAGCCGAGCGACCTGACCGATCCGAGCGACCTGACCGATCCGAGCGACCTGAGCGATCCGAAAGAGCTGAACGATCCGGACAACCTGAGCGATGCGAGCGAATCGAACGGCCTGAGCAATCCAATATTCCTGAGCGATCTGAACGACCTGAACGATCCGAGCGACTTGAGCGACTCGAACGGCCTGAGCGAGCCGAACGGTCTGACCGACCTGAGCGAGCCGTACGGCCTGAGCGATCCGAACGATTCGAACGGCCTGAGCGATCCGAGCGACTCGAACGACCTGAACGATCCGAGCGACTTGACCGACTCGAACGGCCTGAGCGAGCCGAACGGTCGGACCGACCTGAGCGAGCCGTACGGCCTGAGCGATCCGAGCGACTCGAACGACCTGAGCGATCCGAACGAGCTGAGCGAACCGGACAACCTGAGCAATGCGAGCGAATCGAACGGCTTGAGAGAGCTGTAAAGCCTGAGCGATCCGAACGATTCGAACGGCCTGAGCAATCCAAACTTCCTGAGCGATCCGAGCGGCACGAACGACCTGAGCGACTCGAGAGACCCGATCGGCCCGAGAAACCTGTGCGGCCCGAGAGACTTGAACGAGCCGAACGACCTGTGCGACCTGTGCGACCCGAGAGACCCGAACGACTCATGCGTCCCGAGCAACTCGCACGACTCATGCGACCTTTGCATCAGGACAACACGTCAGAGCGTATGCGCAAAATGATGGACATCGAGCGACGCAAGGAGCAGCAGGCGATCGAGCGACAGCAGCGCGAACGCGAGCGTGAGCGTCAAAAGGCGCGCGAAGCGGAGGAGAAGAAGCGCGAGGAGCAGTTGCTGGAGCAGGAGCGGCTGCGTAAGCAGAAGGAGCACGAGAATCAGTTGCTGCGCGTGCACGAGCAGCGCGAGCACGAGCGCAACTTGCGCAGGCAGAGGGCGAAGGAGATGCGTTTGTTCACGCTGAAGAAGCCCGAGAAGCAGGCCGTGCAGCCGGAGTCGAAGCAGGATTCGCGCGCAGAGATGCTGCGGGAGACGATAGAGATTGAAGCCAAGCTTAAGGAACAGAAATCGGCCATCCAGAAATCCAGGGCGGAGGAGCTCCGACTTGAGCGCCTGGGGTGGGAGAAACTTGAGGGGAAACAAACTGAGTTGCAGAACCACCAGGCGCCCAAGAAGGAGAGCCTCCAGCCCTTGGAGGTAAACATTGACCCGGCAATCGGCGAAAAGCTGAAATATGAACTGATGCGCGTCGAGGAGCTCAAAAAGCTGCACGAGCAGGAGAAAATGCGCCAGCAGGAGGAGCAAATAAGACGGCGCAGCGAGGAGCTCGAGCGGAAGCTAACCGCAGCGCGCGACAAGCAGCTGGCGAACAAGCTGCGTTCCATTCTGAGTCAGCAGCAGAACCATCAGGTCGCCGAGGCCCTGAGGATGCAGCAGAGGCTGCTGGAGGGAGAGCCTTTATCGACGTCGCGCTCTAGCAAGGAAGGTAGCCCGAGCCAAGTTCCGAGCCAACATGAGCCAGAGCCAGTGGAGCAACGACCCAAAAGCAACTCGAACTCGAATTCCAATCCGAGCTCGAACACTAGATCGAAGCACAGTCATAGCAACAGGACTCGAGGTGGCGATAGCAAGCCTCCAATCCACACGCCTCTTCCAGCACCAACACCATCGCCCTCTGTCTCCCCAACGCCCGTTCAGTCCAATGAGCAGCTGAACAACACCAGGCGCCTGGAGCTGCAGCAATACACCAGGGAGTGCTTCCTGCAGCACATCGATGAGCAGCGGCTGCGCCTGCAGCTGGCTGAACAGAAGGTCCACACCATCGAGGTGGAGAAGCAGCAGCTGGAGAAGGAGATCAAGGAGCGCCTCGACATGCTGGAGTGGCTGACCCAAGCGCAGAGCCGCAGCGAAATGAATGTCCTGGGCAAGAGCGGGTCGGGCTCGGTGCCAGAGTTCGTGAAGTTCGCCTGGCGTGTCCAGCGCTTGAACAGCGACACCAAGTACAAGTCCATTGCCAAGCGGATGGAAGCGGCGGGGCGGCGAGCCCAATCCGCGAGCGTCAACAAGTGCAAGCGCATGTGGTCGCCCCTGATGAGACGCTACATTCAGTTCGATCGGCGCCGCAGGTCGAGCTCGAGCGAGACTCTGCTGCCGTCCGACGCGGAGCTGAGGAGGGAGCTGAAGAGGTACCTGCGCAAGAAACTGCATTCCCAAACGCAGCAGCAGGAGAACTCCAGCGGGGAGTACTTCACAACGCAGCCGCAGTCGCAGCGCTTCCAGCACTTCATTGAGATGAGCAAGTCGCGGGTGCGGGTCGAGCGAAGGAAACCCAAGAGAGCGACCAAAGCGACCAAAGCGAACAAAGCGACCGAAACGACTGAAGCGACCGAAGCGACGCCCGGCCACGACAGCAGCTGCAGCAGCTTCAGCTGTCGCGCAGTCTATGGCGGCGACGACACCGTCCACGAGCTGAATGAGTCGAGGCCCAGAGCTGTAGCCATGCGCCATCAATGCCCGTGCCGATTGCGCCAGAAGCAGAAGCAGGAGAGGGAGAGGGAGAGGGATAGAGACAGAGACAGGCAGAGGGGAACGGGTGACGGCACTGCAATACACTGCTCACAGTCCACGCAGACAGATATCTTTCGCCACGCACTGCGCACGAGCTCCGCGCGCCGCTCGCTGCTCAATCGCAACAGACGCAGGATGCAGAAGCGCATGCGCCTGCAGCTTATGCGGAATCGCAGACGTCATCAGGACCATTTGCTATCGGGCGAGCACTTTCAGTTGTCCGACCGCGAGCTGGAGGAGGAGCGGAGCATCTTCCAGCGGCTGCTGCAGGGCAGCGAGCCGGGCGCGAACGGACGGGACCAGCTGCTGGTGGAGAATGCGCTGATGGAGCGCAAGCTGCTCGTGGCCAAGCAGCGGGAGCAGCAGCTGAAGCAGCTGCAGGCCCAGATGCTGAAGGCCTCGGTCGAGGTGCTGCAGCTGCTCGACGAGGCGAAGGAGGTCTCCAGGCCCGACACAGAGACCACATGCAATCGCAGCTGCATTCGCTGGCGACACGAGATGCAGTTGTCCGTCAAGCCACTGGTCCAGGTGCCCTGCCGCATCTTTGGGATGCTCTTCGAGCCGCTGCTGCACGACGGCGACGACCAGGTGGAGCTGCGCCGGCAGATCGACAATCTGGATGCGCAGCTGGACAAGCATCTGGCCAGCCGGCTGAGCCGCGCGCTCGACAAGTGCCACACCTGCTGCTGCCAGCAGCGCCTGCAGCCCGCCTGGGAGTCCCATCTGGAGCACGACCTGGAGCACCGCAAGGTGCTGGCCACTCACAGCTTCCAGCTGCTGCGTCAGCTCTTCGACGAGCACTGCAGCAAGTCGCGCGCCATCTGGCTGGGCGCCCTGCAGACCATCGAGACGCTCTATTTCGAGCAGATCGCCGAGAATATGTCAATGGCCCGACCGGCCAAGGGCTCGAGTCTCCACAAGAGATCCAAGCACTAAATCCTGGAATTTCCCAAGTCCCTTGCGATTAAAGAATCGTCAGCTCTAGTTCCTACGGCTGACAAGGGCACTGCCGGCTTGACTAAATCATCTGATATGGAGTTACCTTGGATACCACGATCTCTCCTTCCCATTATTCCCGCATTCGATGTACCATATTTTGATCATAGTTTCCAAATTCGCTTAGTTGCATTTAATTATGTTCGATCCTTTGTTGTTTTGCAGCTGATAAGTCTAGTTACCGATAGGTCTGAGGCCTGTCGACCTCATGAATGCCTTTCGTTTAAAGAATCCCTTGTCAATAAAGATCTAGTTAAGCCCCGATTTCTTTCGTTTTCTCTCTTTGGACTTTTGGGTCTAACTCTTTCGCGCAGAGAAGAGACTCTCCTGGGAAGTATTTTGCCTGTCGACTAACCACATCCGACGGAGCTCTTCTGATCGACTATTTGCCTCTACCTGGAGAGCTCTTATAGGGAGAGCGAGCTTCCGTCAGATCTGTTCCGCCACTTGGTCCGCCTTTCTCTCCCTTCGCTTCTCTGGCAACTGCGGCTTACTTCTCGTGTCATTTTGCGCTTCTTATAACCCATTTGTGTCCATGTCAATGTTGATATTTGTTGTCTCCGCTCGATGTTGCTTTCGTAACGACAGCCAAAGTCAAACTCAATTTAACAAAAAATCAACGTAAATGTAAATTGAAACCTGCTTGCGAGCCGTGAGTCAACGTTTGGCAGCAGACAACGAGGCCGAGTCCTTGCTACTTGCCCCGCGCCTCGTAACCCTTTGACCCTCTCTCTCCACCGACCCACCAACCCATCGCTCCACCTCGCGCCTCTGCATCTCTCTGTCTTTAGCTGTCTGTCTGGCTTCATTCCTTTCCTTCCACATGTGCTTGAGAGCCGACGCTGCGGCAGGTAAAAACTCTGACCTGACCCATCTTGCACTTAAAGTCGACCTCTGACATCCCTCCACCTCTACCGCCACCACTGCCCGACTCTCTTTTGATGGCTCGCTCTATTTGTGTTGGTTAAAAAGCAATTTCTTCGCTTGGTGTTGTTGCACTTGCATTATTGCCTCGTCGACTGCAACAACTGCTGACATTTGCGCCGCCATCAGCCATCAGCAGTTTGGCATATACCCTGTCCGTGAAGCTGCCGTGGAGCGTGTTGCATCATTGCTTATACTAAATTGGAAATATGTGTAAATGCGTTCCAAGACTTCAACATTTTCCACATGCTGTGGAGGTTTCCTCTGTGAACTACCACATGGATTCGTCGAACAGGTATTTCTTTGATATTTTCATGCAGCTCCCACAGGCTAATTGCCAAGTCCCTTTTGATTCGATACCACCACTATCGTATGATAGCCTTGTTTGATGCTCTTTTGCATGTTCAAAGACAATGATAATTGCTCTGCTCTTCTCCTTTCGTTTGCCGTAGATGTCCTCCTTTGCCCCTGTTTCATTCGTTGACTAATGGATATGTTTCTTCCCACATCTAGCTTCTTCTTTCCTCTACTCTCTGCTTCTTTAGTGCTGTTCGTAAATCTTTTCTGCTTGCCTTTGCTTTATTGTTGCGTCTTATATAGAAATCTAAATTTTATATCGTTCGAGTCTCCACATTCTCTGCTTCTCATTTTCTCCCTTCTTGCTCCTCTGTTCTGCATTTCTTGTTGATCCAGATCTTAAATCTGGCTTTTCGTTCTAGCATCCTAGACAGACCCATATAAGACCCAATCATATGCCGTGCTCAACTTGTCTTGTCCATTCCTTTAACTTCTGTCTTCATAGCTGTCTCATATGTCCCAAGGCTAGTACAGTTATGTCTTGGCACAATGGGAGCTTACTGCACTCCAGGTCCTCGTTTGGTTTTCGTATAGAGAGAGCAAAGGAATAGCTAGGGTATGCCATTGTCACGTTGCCATAGTCAGTGTTTCTTCCTCCCCGCTCTTCGCCTTTGTCCCTTCCCCTTCGACATGAGCAGTCTCAGCCCTTCGCTCAAGCACTCCGCCACTCAAACAACCCACTTGCAAAGCTCTTTTGCATTTTTATTTTGGCATAATAAATGATGACAAATTAATTAAATTGACAAGGATGCCGCTGCAGCTTCTTGACGGCGACGACGGCGACGACGATGGCGACGCTGACGACGCTGACGGTGAGCTGCAATCGGTTATTACCATCGCGTATACGCAGTGTGAACGTGGCGCTGCGTTACGTTACGTTGCGTTGCGTTACGTTACGTATTCGCAATGCCGTCGTCTGCTGATTGCTGATTAAATGTAAATGTTGTTGTTGCCCCTCTCTCTCTCGCTCTCACTGTGTCATTCGAGACTCTTCAATTAATAATGAAGGCGTGGCTATGCCAACCCAACGTTTCCTTTTGGCTGCTGCTGCTGCTGCTGAGGCGGCGGTTGCTCAGTTGCGCCTAATTGAAAGTCGTTTTTTTTTTTTTTTTTTTTTTTTTGCCTAACTTGAGTGACATGAGTTTTTAAGTCAAGTGAGCGTTGCATTTGGCTGCATGCCTTTCCTCACCCTCTCCTCCCGCCCCCTTCTTCACCCGCAAATGCACAGCACCCAGAGTGAAAGTTCTGGGGCCAAACTGACCTTGACCAAAAAAGAATTCTCCCTGTTCTCATAAACATATCCACATGCCTAGGCACACACATTAGTCACTGCCCTGTAGGAAATTTGCGAGAGCAGCGACTGCCACAAATTAGTGGAAAACTGAGCTTATGAGGAGCGTATGGCGTATGAAGTGTGAAGTATGATCAAGTATGATGAAATATGAAGTGTGAAGTATGATGAAATATGAAGTATGATGAAGTATGAAGTATGATCAAGTATGATGAAATATGAAGTGTGAAGTATGATGAAATATGAAGTATGATGAAGTATGAAGTATGATGAAATATGAAGTATGATGAAATATGAAGTATGATTAAGTATGATGAAGTATGATGAAATATGAAGTACGAAGTATGATGAGGTATGATGTATGAACTATGAAGTATGAAGTATGAAGTATGAGAAAGATGAAGTATGAGAAAGATGAAGTATGATGAAATATGAAGTATGATGAGGTATGATGAAGTATGATGAAATATGAAGTGTGAAGTATGATGAAATATGAAGTATGATGAAATGTGAAGTATGATTAAGTATGATGAAATATGAATTACGAAGTATGATGAGGTATGAAGTATGAACTATGAAGTATGAAGTATGAAGTATGAAGAATGAAATATGATGAATGAAGTATGAAGTATGAAGTATGAAGTATGAAGTATGAAGTATGAAATATGAAGTATGAAGTATGAAGTATGAAGTATGAAGTATGAAGTATGAAGTGTGAAGTATGAAGTATGAAGTATGAAGTATGAAGTATGAAGTATGAAGTATGAAGTATGAAGTATGAAGTATGAAGTATGAAGTATGAAGTTGAAGTATGAAGTATGAAATATGAAGTATGAAGGATGTACCTAGGTCCTGTAGATGGCCTGTAGAGAGTCGACACATGTTAGATAAATAACGATTGAGGTCCACAGTTGTAAAAAAACAATTTCATTGCAATTTCCAGCGAGATTCCCGTGCGAGTTGTCCTGCTACACACCTGGCATATACCTGTAGCTCTCCATAATCTGTCATGCATGGCTTTGCATCATGCAACGACAGCTGGAGACTCGCGGTGACAGTGCTGTGGTTTTAGCCAAAGCCAAGCTCTTTGCCCTAGCTAGAAAAATAAAGCACGCTTATTGACAAGCTGCAGCCACCGAAAGCCACCAGAGCCACTGAAGCCACCGGAGCGACCGTCGTCTGACTTGATGCATCGCCGAGGCTGTCAAGTTTCTAGCTGGCATTTTGTTAGCCTCGTTTTCGGAATTTCGTCTTGGCTGCTTGTTTGGCTGTTGTTCGAGTTGTTGTTGTAATTAGTGCATGTAACATTTGAAGGGATATTAATTACTTTGATGTGAATGTGTGTGTGTGCATATGTGGAACTGTGTGTGTGTGTGTGTGTGTCTGTGTGTGTGTTTACCTAGCATGTTTGACATGCTGGCAACAAGCGGCGCCATCAGCACCGCAGCTGAGCAGCTTAGCTGACCCACTTGCTGCCGTCGAGCCTTTCAGCCGTTCCGTCACACGCCCCTCTAACAAATTTCACACATACACACATAGCTTTATTTTCCCTCTCTCTCTCTCTCTCTCTCTCTCTCTCTCTCTCTCTCTCTCTCTCTGGCTGCAACCAGGCGAGTCATTGCAACTTGTAGCTTAAAGGTGTAAAATCAGCTCAGAAAACGTTTCTGCGTTCTATTATCCAAATATTATAATACGCTAAATACATTGTATATGCCAGGCGATTTAGGGTGTATTAGCATGACGAAGCTGCGTGTTAAGGGCGTGGCAGAGCTCGTCATGTCTATATGTGTATGTTTGATTGGAATCATTAGTTGGGTTGATCTCTGACTATCTCTTTGACTGTCTCTCTAGTCGACTTTCTTCGTTACGAAATTACTAGCTGATTATCGATATTAATCGATACTCTGTAGGTTCTTCTAAAGAGGGCATATTATTTTGCATATCTTGCCCCTCTCGGGTCTCTATAGTGTTCAGAAAATTTGATTTGGAGGTTCCCACTAGGACAAGAGTTATTCATTAATTCATTTACCAGAGTAAAGCCCATGAGCGGAGTGCAGAGCGTGCGCTTATATGTGTGTGTGCCTGGGTGTGTGCATATTGTACATACACACATAATAGAGCGTAGAATGACTGACGGAACAGCTCTGCGCAGGGCTCAGGCTATATCCAGGTCTAGGCTAGGCTTTTAGTTACCCTGTCGACCACATCGAACGCTTATTGAAGTATATTTGTAGCTTGGCACGCAAGCTGGGGGCTGATAGTGCTTGGTCTTCTCTTTCCCCTTTGGTGGTTATCAAACCACCTAGCTGCAGTCATTCAGAAACTAGTCGGAAATGAAATGAAGCTTTGATGATTTGGTCTCCTTTGCTTCGCCTTGATGAGAACTCAATTTGAATACAACTTGCAGCGCGTAATGAGCAATGCGACAAAAATAAAATTGTGCGACGAGTGCGAAGGGGAGGAGCTGAAAGCATACGAGAAATTGCTCAATAGGGGCAATCGGGGCCAAACAATATGGCGCATCGAACGGAAGTGCTACGTTTTATTTACAGTGGCTGAACAATTGAGCAAACAAAATGGCCAAAGTACAACCCAAATGTGCTGTTGTTGTTGTTGTTGTTGTTGTTGTTGTCGCAGTGCAAATGGACAGACAAGTGAATTATTGAAATGCTTACCACAAACAG